AACTGCAGGGGAGACTGGGTGATGGATAAATGTATATACTCAGAGGGAGAGAAGATAGGATAGTCCTGTAGTTAGACTCTACCCTAACAAATGCAGTCAAGAGACATGGTAAGCACTAGAGGTGTGAGGCTGCAGCTGGCGTAGCATGGCATAGTGTTTTACAGCACACTTTTTTAGTAAGTAGAGAGTGTACACTAAAATAATGACAAAATGTACAGTATAATAAATATGTAGGCCAGTAACATAGTCATTTATTATCATTATCAAGTATTGTGTACTGTACATAATTGTGTGTGCTAAGCTTTTCTACAACCAGCAGCACAGTGTGTTTGTTCACGCCACACCACCACACACACGTGAGTAACGCATTGCTCTATGACCTTATGCTGGCCCTGACATCACTGGGTGGTAAGAATATTTCAGCTTCATCATAATTTATGGGGCCAGGGTCATATGTGATGGATCATATACCGGATCCACCATGGATTTAAATGTCATTATGTGGCTCATCATTGTAATGTCATTTCTGCATCAAATTATTTATCATTTTTAATAATTTCACTATATAATTAGGAAGAAGATAATTTACAGTATAGTATATTAATCTACTTTTGTAGTTCAAACCAGCTTATGATTTGGGAAATTTTCATCTATATTCAAATCAATAATCAAGACACTATAATGTAAATGTAGTTGCCTTCTCTATTACATTTGCCTATTATAGTAAAAAGGTCGCACATGTACTTTATTGACAGTTCTGTTTTTTTAAAGATTGTAATTTGTTTTTAATATTTAGAGAGAGGGAAAGGGAGGGAGAAAGAGATGGAGAGAAACATCGATGTGTGGTTGCTTCTCATACACCCCCAACTGGGGACTTGGCCCTCAACTCAGGCATGTGCCCTGACTGGGATCGAACCAGAGATCCTTTGGTTCACAGGCTGGTGCTCAATCTACTGAGCCACATCAGTCAGGGCTATTTTGTTTGTTTGTTTGTTTGTTTTTCTTGGTACAGAAATGTGGTATTTTGTGGAGTTGAGGTAATTTTTTTCTTTGAGCTTTATAGAGGAAACAAGGAATGGGCAAATAAATATGAGATCTATGTATAGGTATACCTGCTGCATATAAAAATTACCCATGGTCAATAGATAATATTATATAGCCTGATTATGTTCCTTATATCAGAATTAGAAGACTCCTGAGAGACCAACAGAAATTTTTTGTGGAATCAAAACTGAAATCCTACAAATGGAAGGTACCTTAACACCTAGCTAAGTCCAGCATCTCACCAAAAGCACAGATTCACTCAAAGCTAACTCAATCTCCTGATTTTAGAGACAATAAGCTTACTCTCTTCCAAGGGAACATATTACTGTTAGAATTTTATTTCTACCTTGAATTTATTTTGGTGTATGGTGTAAGTCTGTGCTCAAGTTTCATTTTTTTGCATGTAGCTGTCCAGTTCTCCCAACACCATTTGTTGAAGAGGCTATCTTTACTCCATTTTATGTTACTGCCCCCTTTGTCGAATATTAATTGACTGTAGAGAGTTGGGTTGATTTCTGGGCTCTGTGTTCTGTTCCATTGGTCTATGTGCCTGTTTTTATGCCAGTACCAGGCTGTTTTGATTACAGTGGCCTTGTAATACAGTTTGATATCAGGTATTGTGATCCCCCTACTTTGTTCTTCTTTCTCAAAAGAGCAGCTGCTATTCGAGCTCGTTTATGGTTCTATATAAATTTTCGAAGTGTTTGTTCTATGTCTGTGAAATATGCCATTGGTACTTTAATAGGTATTGCATTGAATCTGTATATTGCTTTGGGTAGTATGGACATTTTGATAATGTTAATTCTTCCAATCCATGAACAAGGTATATGTTTCCATTTGTTTGTGTCTTCCTTGATTTCGTTCTTCAGGGCTGTGTAGTTTTCTGCATACAGGTTTTTTACCTCCTTGGTTAGGTTTATTCCCAGATATTTTATTTTTCTTTTTGCTATATCAAATGGGATTTTTCTCTTTATTTCTGCTTCTGCTGATTCACTGTTGGTATACAAAAAATGCCTTTGATTTCTGGATATTGACTTTATAACCAGCTGTTTTGCCAAACTCATCAATTAGTTTGAGGAGTTTTTGGGTAGAGTCTATAGGATTTTCCATGTACACTATGAGATACCACTTTACACCAGTCAGGATGGCTATCATAAACAAAGCAACAAACAACAAATGTTGGAGGGGTTGTGGGGAAACGGGGTCCTTAGTTCACTGTTGGTGGGAGTGCAGACTGGTACAACCATTATGGAAAACAGTATGGATTTTTCTCAGAAAAATAAAAATCGACCTGCCTTTTGACCCAGCAATTCCACTGCTAGGATTATATCCTAAGAATCCTAAAACGTCAATATCAAAGAACCTATGCACCACAATGTTCATAGCAGCACAATTTACAATAGCCAAGAGTTGGAAGCAACCTAGGTGCCCATCAGTAAATGAATGGATCCAAAAATTGTGGTACATATACACAATGGAATTCTATGCTGCAGAGAGAAAGAAGGAGCTACTACCCTTTGCAACAACATGGATGGAACTGGAAAGCATTATGCTGAGTGAAATAGGCCAGGTGCTGAAAGACAAATACCATATGATCTCACCTTTAACAGGAAGCTAAACAACAAAACAAACAAGTAAGCAGAAAAAAAAAAACCCCAAAAAACAAAGACACTGAAATAGAGAACAAGGGGATAGTGACCAGAGGGGGAGAAGGAAGGGAAGTTAAGGGGAAAAAGGGGGGAGGGATTTGGAGGAAAAAAAAGGAAGGACACAGGGACGAGAACTAAGGGGGAGGGAGGAAATGGGAGGGAGGTGGGGAGCAAGGGGCAGGGGAGGCTGGGATGGGAAAAATAGACAAAAAACTGTACTTGAAAAATAACTAAATAAAATTAAAAAATTAAAAAAAAAAAGAATTTTATTTCTTAAATCAAGCAAAATATCCTTTTTCTTTTTTACTTTTCTTTTTCAAATTAATCTTTGTATATTTTCCATTGCCATTTAGTCCCTTTACACCCCCCTTTCCCCAGTAGTCACCACATTGTTGTCCATGTCCATGAGTCCTTTTTCCTTTTTGCTCAAACCCTCCATCCCCTCACCCTGCCTACTAGCTGTCTTCATGCTCTCTAGCTATGAGGCTGTCTCCATGTTTTTTGTTAGTTCAGTTTGTTCATTGGATTCCATATATGAGTGAAATCATATGGTATTTGTCTTTCTCCAACTGGCTCATTTCCCTTAGCATAATGTTCGCCAGGTCCATCCATACTTTTGTTAAGGGTAAGAGTTTTCTTCTTTTTTATGGCTGAGTAGTATTCCATTGTGTAAATATCCCATAGTTTTTTTATCCACTCATCTGCTGATGGACACTCGGGCTGCTTCTACATCTTTGTGATTGTAAATAAAACTACAAAGAACATAGGATGCTTATGTTCTTTTGAATTAGTGTTTTGGGTTTTTTTCTAATATATTCCCAGAAGTGGGATAGCTGAGTCAAAAGGCAGATCCATTTTTAAATTTTTGAAGTTTCTACATATTGCTTTCCACAGTGGCTGTACCCATCTGCATTCCCACCAACAGTGCAAAAGAGTCCCCCTTTCACCACACACCCTTGCCAGCATTTGTTGTTGGTTGATTTGTTGATAATAGCCATTCTGATAATAGACAATGAGTATCTCATTGTGGTTTTTATTTGCATTTCTCTGATGATTAGTGACATTGATCATCTTTTCATATGCCTATTGGCCAACTATATGTCCTGTTTAGAGAAGTGTCTATTCAGGTCCTCTGACCATTTTTTAAATTGGGTTATTATTTTTTTGTTATTTTTGGTTTTTGGGGGTGGTGAGTTTTGTAAGTTCTTTATAAAATTTTGGATATTAACCCCTTATCAGATGTATCAGCAAGTATGTTCTTCCATTCTGTGGGTTGTCTTTTTTGTTGATTATTTCCTTTGCTGTGCAAAAGCTCTTTAGTTTGATGTAGCCCCATTTATTTATTTTTTCTTTTGTTTACCTTGCCAGGGGAGAGATATCTGTTAAATTTTGATAAAAGTAATGTCTGAGCTTTTGCTGCCTCTGTTTTATTCTAAGATTTTTATGGTTTTGGGGTCTAATATTTAAGTCTTTTATCCATTTTCAATTTATTGTTGTGTGTGGTATAAGAAGGTGATATAGTTTAATTTTTCTACATGTATCCATGTAATTTTTCCAACACCATTGATTGAATAAACTATCTCTAGCCCTTTGTATGAGCTTGCTTCCTCTGTTGAATATTAGTTGACTATAAAGGTGTGGGTTATTTGGGGGCTCTCTATTCTGTTCCATTGATCTATGTGTCTGTTTTTATGCCAGTGCCATGCTGTTTTGATTACTATGGCCTTGTAGCATAGTTTGATATTAGGTAGAATGATTTCTCCAACTTGTTCTTTTTTTTCTCAGATCATTGTTGCTATGCAGGGCATTTTGTGGCTCCATATAAATTTTTGAAATATTTATTCTATTTCTGTGAAATATATCATTGAGATCTCGATAGGAATTGTGTTAAATCTATAGATTGCTTTGGATAGTATGAGCATTTTAATGATGTTAATTCTTCTTATCCATGAACATAGTATGTGCTTTCACTTATTTATAGTTTCTTGTATTTCTTTCTTCAGTGTCTTATAATTTTCTGAGTATAGGTCTGAAAATTTTACTTTTGATATTTTGTATCATGTAATTATTAAATTTTAATGACTAGTCAGGTCACTTTATATATCTAGACTTGAAAGACAACATGCATTAAGTGAATTAAAATAAGCTATTTCTTCAGTGTTTGGTTTATAAATAAATGGTAAACATTTGATGATTGTATTATTAAGCCAGTATATAAATAATACACTTTAGAATCAAATCCAACACATGAATTTATTCATTCATTTATTTGTGTCTTTATGTATCTGTTTACCGTATGTCTTACAGCTGTTATTTCAAGAAACCAAGAAGGGCCAGGAGAAATGGGAAAGGCTGTGCTGATTCCTAAAGATGACCAGGAGAAGATGAAAGAGCTGTTTAAAATCAATCAGTTTAACCTCATGGCCAGTGATCTGATTGCCCTTAACAGAAGTCTGCCAGATGTAAGATTAGAAGGGTGAGTTTACATGTGTTATATAATCTTATATATTTCAGAACATCAGAAACCTCAGTTAACTCAGATTATTTCAGCTCTAGAAGTCTGTGGTTCTGAATAACTATACCATAGCAAGATTTTACTGTGCATATATATGATAAGAAATATGAACTGTCCTCTTCTCTGGCAGGGCAAAATATGTTATTTGAAAAAAATGCAGAACACACAGCCTAATAGGTTTTTCACCATGAGATGCTTTTTGTTTTATTTTTCTTGGTCTTATCTTGCCAAATATAGAGCAAACCTGCTCTTTAGTAGATTATTTTCTTGCCAGCAGACAAAGCTCTCACACTTTAATTTGAAAAACTATGTTTTGCTCTTCCAGCATAAAAGTAGTCAATTGCCTGTATGATTCTTTGACCTTATACATGATTATTTACTATGGGTTCCAGCAATTCATGTTGCTATTTATAATTAGAATGCTCAGTTATTAGCCACAAAGGAAATAACCACCTAGCAATAATAATATGGAATAAAAATTAAGTTGAAAAATTCAACTTATATATGATGAACTATAAGCCATGCTCTAACTAGTGTAACATATTTTAAATGGATGTCATGAAATTAGATATTTATTTGGAGTAGTGTCATTCTAGTATATAGTCTTTATAAAGTGAATGCTTGGAACTTAGATATGTCCTGAGATTTCAGAAAATTTCCAAGTTTACAGATAAGTTTCAGAACATACTTCTATGTAAACCAAAGTTGTTCTTTTAGCCATCTGATTACTTTTTTCTATATACAACAAAATCATAGTTAATACAAATAAAGTTTGCCATATATAATTGGTTATATTACATTAGTAGTATGATGGTGTTAACATCATAAAACTAAATCTGGTAGTTTTTTCTCCTTTCTGAATTACTTCAAATGAGCTGAAAGTAACCAAAATCTTATTGAGATGCTGGGCCTGACCTGTCAGAAAGTTCACTTGGTAGCTAAGTAATTGCTTTTATACACTGTGGTTTGCTTTCGGCATGTTTCTCTCAACAAAACCACAAACAACTGTAGGTTATGATGTTTTTGGTCCCCAGGAATAGGTTAATGCACCAAATATTACATTTGTGCCGTCTAAAGAGCTAAATAATTTTATAAGTAGCTCTATCCATATTTGTAAGTATATAGAAATGTTGCACTTTGAAAAACACAAAAATCATATTCTGATTAATTTTCATATTTTATATGCTAAATTTATAATGTTATAATATTGTATTTATTACTTTGTTTTATACACCATGCTTTAATAAAATGTGTAAATGTGATACTCAGACATTCAAGAAAACACATCAGCACTAGTTCAAATTTTTAAAAAATTTTTATTTTCAACCTTCAGAACGCATATTAAATTTTATATCATATCTGGGCTGGTTAAGGTAAGAATCACTTCAGTACAGACACATCACTTAAAAAAAAGTAAAATCATCATTAAGAAGCCACTGAAAATATCTGGGGCCAGTGCTGTACCTTCCCTTCAGAATCATGTAACATATTAAGTACTTGAATAATTAAGCCTTACACTGTAAAATAATTCTATATTTTAAAAGTGGAGGATGCAAATGCTTAGTATTAAAAATTTCTCAACATGCCAAACATAATCTGGATATCTGGCTTAAAGTTTGTGGTTTTGTAAATAGCCTATGAAATAATATTTTCCAATGCATTTTTGTATCATACCACAGCGTATGCTATCAAAACAAAAGAAAAAATCATACGTATCATCTACGTTTCCTAGACAAATCATTAAGTGTATGTGAGTTTTTCTAGGGACATTTGCAAGTCATCTTGAGTGACTCAGTTGTGTGACTGTTTGGGAACAAATGTTGAAAAACACGCCATGAATCAGATATCCCAACTGTTATTGAAAAAAATGTCAAAATCTGTTAATACTCATTTGCTGTACGAAACAGTGTTTTTCAACTGTGGTATTAATTTTTAATAGTTATTAAAAGGATGTTATCTTAAAAGGATGGTGGCACATTAAGATAGCCTTAATGATGACTGATATAAACTATATGCAATATAAAAAAGATGGAATTCACAAATATTTTTAAGAAAGCTTATTTTGTGGAAAATTCCAGTTGATATTTATTTAGAAAGTGCCTGCACTGCTTAAATCGTGAATTCATTTAAATATCTCAATGTTTAAATGAATATACACTTAAACTGGCTCAATTAAATGAAGAAAATTGTCCAATAGTTTAACATTGTATTTGGCTTTAATATAAACCTACAAATATTTGAAGGTGTTTTCAGAGGAATAAATTCAAGCAAATACTTCATGTTTTCTTGGAGGAAAGACTAGAGAGAAATAGTTTTTCTTGGAGGCAGTTGTGATGAGACATCAGGACAAATTGAAGTTGATTTCTGGAATGTCCATCCCTAGGGATGCTTAAGTACTTATGTTAATTTACTTATTTACTGAACATATTTAATTTGTTAGCATTTATAGTACAATTATATATAACTTTTAATTATTTGGGGGACAAGAAATAATTACATCACAAATAGTTGCATACTTGGTTATGTTAAGTGCAGTCAAGGCCGAAGACCTTACTAAATTTCTAACTTTCTTGAAGACCCTCAGTTTCTGACATCCTGGTCGAAATCTGTACATGTGAAAAATAAAATTCCAGAGAAATGTAACCAGTCATCTTTCTCTTTTGCCCATCTTCCATATATTTTTAAAATATTACAATGTCATAACAGTTTGATTCAGAACGTTGAGAAAAATTATTTTAACCTTGGTGATGGATGGAGACTTCACTTTGGTAGGTGAACACACAATACAGTATATAGATAGTGTCTTTTAGAATTGTACATTTGAAAACTGTGTAATTTTATTAACCAATATAATCCTAATAAATTCAATAAAATATTTTAAAATAATTTTAAAAAGCATTATTATCCTGATCTAGTGGTGCATCGGCATTAGGGATCATTAGTCTGTTTCTCACCAATTATGAATGTAAGTTTTATAAATTTATGTAGTTTGGATTTAAGAGTAGGGCATAAATATTCCTGTTTTCAGAAAGCATGTAAATATATAACATCTTGTTTAGTTTTTAAACATGAGGTATTTGTGTTACTATTTAGAGAAAGAGAGAAAGAGAAATGAGAATTACCAAACCAAAGAACCCATTTAGAAGATGTTAAATGCATTATTTTTTAGCACCTAATATGCTAGGATGTGCCAAGTATGGCTCCTTGTTATGGAGATATAGCAGTGAACAAAATTAAGTCCCTGCTTCATGAAACTTATAACAAATTAAATAAAGAAAGGAAAGCGATAGAGATTAGAGTAGTGAGCAAAAGGTTCTTTTAGAACTTGCATTTTAATAAGATGAGTGGATCTTAAGCATGTAAATATTATAATTTCTTTTAACTAATACACAAAGCTATTAGATAATTACTGAATTCCTGGAACAGACAATGCTAGAGATATGAGACGTGTGAATATATGAAACTATAATTGCACAAAAGCAACAGAATAAACATTAAGTAAATGCATAGACCTTGCATGCATGTTTATGTGTATGTGTATTAGTTTTAGAAAACAATGTTTATATTGTATTGCCATAAAAGTTAACAAATACCACATTTTGATTTACTGAGGTTTCTATAGCCTATGTTACCTCATGCTCAAGGCATTCCTGGAAGTAGAGAAGAGAGTCTGTGATCACAGTGAGTGAGTTGGGCATATGACTGATTCCATTAAATGCAAAAAGGAAACAAATAAGGGGACCAGAAAAACCAACTCTGGAGAATTTTTCAAGTAATTAGGGGGAAATTTTCTAGATACAGAACCAAACATATAGGTGTAAAATCTTGGTAGGTCATTAATTTTCTGAATCTTAGTTTCCTTTCACTGATTAAATAAACTAATCAGTCAGTCACCCAATCAAGCAATCTTTGCCATTTACCTAATACGGGCTTAGCTTTGAGAATAAAAGTGAATGACTGTATTGGGCCCTGAGTGTGAAGGTATAGGAATATATTTACCTAAACAAATAACCACAGTATTGTATGAACATAGCAATAACTGCAAAAATGGCAAAGTAAGAATAGGATTGTGCTGAATTCCTGGTGAAATTTTTAAATTATTATTCTGTAGAATATTTTTATGCCTTAGGCTTCTTTTTGTACTAAGTAAGCATGGTAACTTTTAAAGCAATCATCTTCTCTCTTTACTCTGTAATTCTTTTTGAATAACAAATTAGAAGTAATTATTGGGTGAATAATTATTTTGAAAAGCTATGGGTAATTAGAAATTAAAGCAAAATGTTAAGGTTCTTTAGCATTTACTTGTATTCAAACATTTAGTAGCACTTCAAGTTCTGTATTGAATTTGAAGTTTATGATGCAGCTGGCATTTAAATATATTTTATCAGGGCAAAAATGAGGAAATAGGAAATTTATTTTGGCTATTTATATCATAGACCAAATAACTGCTTCTTACATATGCACACTTGCAAGCTGATAAAGAGAAAAAACACGAGCATTCTTTCATTTTTAGTGGAAGAAGAGCAGTAGCATAAAACTTCTGAATAATTTCTCTCAAAAGCAAAGAGTTTATTTACTATGTAAAACAGCAACAAACCATAGTGTGTATTTTCCTGTGCTCAATTTTGTAAGTGTACTTGTCCGTCTACATGAATTGCCTTCCTCATGAATTAAAATATGATAAATGTTACATTGGTTACACAAAGGAGAAATAGAAAGTGAGAATATTAATTGGATTTCTGATCTCTGTTCCACATCTTTTCTTTTTAATTTGAGAATTACTACCTCTTTCATGTGCTGACAAAAATTTTTCCTGTGAAGATAATTTCTATAATACTTTGATTAATGTAATATGCTCACATGTGGAATTACTTTTACTACTGAAATTGAAAGTGATGTGTAAAAATGTCTGTATATGTGTGTTTATTCATATGTATTTGACAAAGATGGAGATGATAGAT